CTGTATCTTAAAAATTTGGGAATTTCAGTGTAATGTTTTGAACCTTTTCCTGCTCCGAATCCTAAAGAAAGCAAGCTGTTTCTCACAACACTGTGGCAAGTGTGCATGAGATTTCACTGGAACGATAAAATTAACTTTATAGGGCTAACATTAAACAAACAAAAAATACAGACAGAAGGGGAACAGATATAAACCCTCCATCAGCTGCTCTGGTCTTGGTGCCAGGTGGCTCTTGGATTCAGGCAGCTGCGGGAGAGCAGGCAGAGGCAGCCTCTTAGAAGTGGAGCCAAGTTTCCATTTATTTATTCTCTTTAGAAAGGGAAATGATAGTGTCTGCTGAGAGGCTACTGTGTGTTGGTTACATGTGCCCAAGACATTCAACACTTTTGAGAGGCATTTTATCCCAATTGTGATGTCTTAGCTTGGATGCGTCTGTCTGTAGCCAACTAAGAAGAGAGGGCCTGCAAAAGTGCATCCGGGCAGCAGCATTTAGAGACACCAAATGTCAAAATGCTGCCAGCCACTGGCCACGGCCCTAACAATGTCAATGCCCTCCCCTCTGCAGTGTGCCCCCTACTTGGCACAGCAGCACCCCCAAGACAGAGGCCCTTGCACCAAGGACGCTCGCCTCCCCTTAGATGCAGCATCATCCAACGTTTTGTGGAGGTGGATTATGAGACACAGAGTGACAAGTATACAACTTCTTGTTTGTCTACTAAAAAGTTCTGTCTTGAGAGCATCATAAAGTCACCAAAAATTACAGCTAGAAGGGACCCTAGAAAAGTTCGGTAGGTCCTGTGGACTCTGCTTGGACTCCCCAGACTCCATGAAGCCCCCCGTCCTTGCACCCTGGGATCGTTCCTTTCTCTCAACTTCTTCATTTTTCAGTGACTCATCTGATACTGTGTCTTTATGGCCTTGGGCAGGCCTTCATGCTTAGTTTTCTTTTCTTTTTTAAATAAAAAGCTGAACAAATGGGTAACAGGGACCATTTACTGAGCATAAATTATGGGCCAGGCATTCAGCTCATGTATTTTATCTTCAATTTTTAAAAAGTCAAAAAATTTAAGAATTTAGCCCATTTCATAGATGGGGAATTTAAGGCTCCCAATTTGCTTAAGAAAATTTGTATTCAGCAAGTATTTCCTGGGTTGCTATTATCTGCCAGGCTCTGTGCTGGGTGCTGTGGATACAACAGATGAGCAAATCAGACCTGATTCTTAATCCAGTAATGTAGGAGAAGTTGGAAAAGTGGAGTGGAGACAAGATTGTCAGAGGCCCTGAATTGGGCAACAAAGGAGACATTTTTGAGTTTTCAGCATGATATGATTAGTCTACAGTTTCAAAGATCCCTGCTGGTGACCTGGGGGTACAGAGAGCAGAACAGGTGGACTGGTGAAGAGGCAAGTGACAGCGACAGGGAAGAGAGGCAAAGACAGAAACGGACTTCCTGGCAGCAGTAACTTGGTTCATGAAGTGACAAGAATTCCAGGATGCATAAGCCCAGGAGAAGGGCAAATAAAAGACCCTATTTGGTTAGGGTTCTTTGTACCCACCCTCAATCACATTATCTACAAACCTACACGGTCGTGCGTCGCACTAAATTAATTGCTCAAAAGGCTTATCAAGAGTACACGCCGTCCAGTGGCCACAACTGGTGCTGCTGGCTGGGGATTTGGCCCAGCCGGCTGGCCAGGCTGCAATCCTGTGTCCCTCCTAAACCTGGGAAATCATCTGCAGGGGCCTTCCCACCCCATCTCCGAGAGGAGGGCTGTCAACCCAGCATTCGGGAGCACAGCTGACCAGGCTACACTGCTAAAAGGCACTGGGGTTCTTTTTTTGTTTCTTTTTTTGAGACAGAGCCTCAAGCTATCCCCCCCTGGGTAGAGTGCCATGGCATCTCAGCTCACAGCAACCTCCAACTCCTGGGCTCAAGCGAGTCTTCTGCCTCAGCCTCCCAAGTATCTGGGACCATAAGCAACCGCCACAACGCCCGGCTATTTTTTTTGGTTGCAGCCATCACTGTTGTTTGGCAGGCCCAGGCTGGATTCGAACCTGCCACCTTAGGTGTACGTGGCTGGCGCCTTAGCCACTTGAGCCACAGGTGCCGAGTCGGCACTGGGGTTCTTATGCTACACTCACTGGCTCCCAGAAGCTCTGCTGTCTGCCCACTGGCACTGTGCTTCTGGCCGTCCAGCTCCGCACTCGCCTCCTGGGAGCAGCAGCTGTAGAGACTCAACTTGGCAGCTTGAGCTCTTGGGCCTTTATCCAGCTACTTTGTTCTGTCTGGAACTTTGCAGCTGTGCTAAAATAATTGAATATGGTCACTGTTCCCCTTTTATTTTTCTAAGGGCTCCTCTACCTTCCCCATGCCTCAACAAAGAACTAGATGACAGTTTTAAAATCTTGAGGACAGAGAAAATTCTCTTAACAGAGGCAAAAGCTGTCCAATAAGCAGTTTGACAGAAACACTCATGTGTATGATCAGATACTGCAGATATACTATTCCTGCTCTCTGAGAGAGCAACCGTGCTTCCAAGAAAGTGCCTGCCAAGGGGATTTACTGGGGTGTCTAATCGTCAACACAATCAAGCTGTTTGTGAGCAGTCACAGGAGGGGTAAGTTCTTTGGAGAGGAATGATCTGCAGATGGGAGTGTGTCAGGTTGGCTGGCCCTGCTCTCAGCTGTGTGGCTCAGGGGGAGTTGTGCACCTTCCTGAGCTCCACTGTGCTCCTCCGTGAAAGGGAGGGTTTGGACCACACTCTCTGAGCTGCCTGTCATATTAATGCTTAATTGTTTTTTATGGAAGAATTTCTATTTCCTCCACTGACCTACAACAATGCATAACACAAAAACAAAACTATATGGATAGTTCACTTTTTGTTGGATAGGTCCTTCTTTCCATCTGTGGCCTCTGATCCTATCTTGTCTCGAGGGCTGCCATGAGGGGGGACAATCCCACCCAACTGTGTGCTCCAGGAAGGCAGAGGTCAACAGGGACCTGCTCAGAGACACCAGCACACCCAGCTTCCCCTTCTGTGTCACTGCTATTTGCTCTGAAGGAACCTCAGCAAGGAACTCTCAGTTCCCACCTGATATTGAGGGGAAAAACACAGAGTAGCAGAAAGAACAGCATCACCTGGTCTTCTCCTGTGACCCACCTCCACGCAACCAGGCTCCAAGGCCATGGCTGTCACCAGCCTTCCTTCGCTCAGCCCACAGCGGGCCCTTCCACGAGGCTGTCTGCCTGGGCAACCTAAGGGTGTCCACAAGGAGTGGATACTGTGCAGCATCCTGGAAACACACCCTGAGGGCAGCGAGGGAGCATGAGTTCACCCTGCCTTCCCCTTGGTCGGGATGTCTCAGCCTCTCCTGCTCCTCTCACCTGCCCTCACCCCACTCCATGCTCCTCCCCACCACACAGGCTTCGAGTATTTTCCTTTTGGCAGGAGCTCATGCTGCCAGGGCATGATTTCTACTGAATAAATTTGTCTTTGTGCTTAGGAAGTCTCAGGCAGAAACTAAATCATACATTTCTTGGGATGCCTAAAATAAGACCCTAAGCCTAGGACACAATGGATGCACAACGGGGTGGGCTGTGGGGACAGGACGACTATGCAAACAAAAGGGATTATGGATTCACAGCAAGGGAAAGACACACACACAGCAAGGGAGGTCCAGGAAGTGGGGTGCAGCAGTTCACACCTGTGATCCCCAGGCTTTGGGGCCAAAGGGGGAACATTGCTCGAGTCCAAGAGTTTCAGGCTGCAGAGAGCTATGATTGCATCACTGCACTCTAGCCTGGGTGACAGGGCAAGAGTCTTTTTTATGTCTCAAAAAAGTTAATTAATTAAAAAAATTATAGCCTATTCTTAAATTTTTTTAAAAAGTATCCATCTTCCAGCTTATAAATTTTTTCTTTCCTTAAAAGTTTGCCCAGGATGAAGGAGAGAAATGGAGTGGGAAGGGGGGGGGAGGAGGTTTGACAGAGGGAGGGTGAAAGGTGGGACCACACCTATGGAGCATATGACAAGGGTACAAGTTAAATCTGTGAAGTGTAGAACATAGATGTTTAGGCACAATAATCAAGTAAATTAGGTGAAAGCTATGTTGATTGGTTTAATGTAACCACGTCAGATTGTATTAAAAAAAAAAAAACAGCACATTGTACCCCACATATGCATGAATGTATTCATGATCTATGTGTATTTAACTTAATGAAAATAAATAAAAAACAAAAACTGAAAAAAAAAGTTTGCATGGTTCTTCTAAATTGGTTGCCTAGAAAACACTGCATATGTGAACTCTCACCCACTTAGGCTGCATTCCTGAGGAAATAGGAGGATCCTAATATCCTCAGCGCCTCGTGTTCCCACCAACAGCAGGGGATCCCAGAGGTTTGTGCACGTTTATTTCTACGCTCACTAGTTTTGGACTTTCCTTCTGCCTCCAGACTGGAAGCTACGGGAGGGCAGGGCCCCTCAGGACATCATGTTTTTGACAGAGTCCCTGACTGGCGGCAGCTGCTCCGGTAGTACTGACCAGGGAGCTGGGCCATCATCAGATTGGATTTAAAACGTAAGTCTGAGGATGGTAACATTATAAGAGAGTTTGGCTTTATTACTTTAGCCCAAGGGAAAGAGTTGATCTTAATTCATGAAGGTTTTCCTGCTTTGTACCTCCTCCCCTGGTCACCAAAGGCACATGCCTATGTTCTAGTTAAAAACACTTCAAATGAACACAGGAGAACTTCACAGGATCAAAGAGAAAAAAAAATTATCTTGAAAGAATCTTAGAAATCATCTTAAACCCCTGCAAAGTCTTTTACCAGTAAGAGATAAACATGTAGAAATGTAATACATCCCCACAATTGGAATGATCACGAAAGTCCAACGCTCAAGTTAATGAACCTTAGATGAACTCGAGACAGACATAACTGCAGGAGAGAAGAAAAACACACTTGGTGAGCACAAGTCATTTCTGGTAAACATTCATCTTACCACAAGTAGGAACATCTTCCTCAGCTGAAGAGGTCTGCTCGTCTGTGGATGGCTTTTTCTTTCCCAGACCAATTATCTTGGTAATTTTTTTCCCAGTAACTTTAGATACAGTTCCCTTGGTGTCTGACTTGGAACTTTTCTTCCTCTTCACTGTCAAGAATCAAAAAAGCATGTTTTAATTGTAGATGTTAATTGAAAAAAAAATGACAATAAAGCCTAAGTTGCAGCCCATTTCTTCTTTCTCTTAACTTCTATCTACTGAGTACTTCAAGTGCCTGCCAGAGTGGGCTTGGCCCAGGCACTGGGGGAGCCGGCAGTGAACAGGGCTGATCCGAGGAAGCTACGTCCTAGAGTGAGCTGGCACACACACACACTGGCACACACAAAGTATGCTCAGAACAGGGCTCTGTGAGAGACGGGTTGGCATGTCAGAGAAAGCCTGCCCAGGGCTGACTTTAAGCTGATTTATAAATTAACAAGGACCTAGCCTTGCACATCTCAGAGAGAAGAATTGTCTAGTCAAGAAGGACATTAGCTGACATAAAAGCTGTCACACTGGAAAAAAGCCCAAAGTGTCTGAGGAACAGAAAAAAACCAATGCAGCCCATACTCATCAGGGGAAGGTCCCAGGGAAAGAGAAGGGGGCCCTGGGTCTCCCTCAGGATCCCCCTGTCTACCTGTAGACACTCACTGGACTCTGCCCCAGCCACAGCTATCAGCAGCCTGTATCTCAGGCCATCTGCTTAGCCTGGGCAGTGCTAGATCAGCAACTGTTAATATATAAAACACAAAACATCTGCACAAAAATGATGTCTTGCTTCCCTTGAAAAACTGAAAGATCTGGCAGCTCTGGACCACATTTGGGCAATGGCGGGAGGATCAGAGCAGCAGTGTCTGCACAGATGGGCCGGCCACCAAGCCACAAAACAAGGCAACTCTGGTCATGTTCCACCGTCCGCCACCAGAGGCCCAAGGTCAGTGCGCTGACATGCTGCATCTGCCCCATCGGTCACTAGCACTCTCTCCCCAACCCACGGGCAGAATTACAGGGACTACATGTGAGCAGGCACCCCAAACCGAGTGCCAAGATCCTCTGGCCAGAAAGCGGCTCTCAGGAAAGGTGAGTTGTTTGCTCGTCTTGATCTCCTGGGGGTCATAATGTACCTGGCGCTAGAGCCTCTTCCTGAGGCTTCCATGGGGCCCTACGCCAGGAGGTGGCTCTGAGACCAGCACTGCTCTGACACTGTGCATGCAGGGAGGAGGGGGCTGAGACCCACAGCATTGAGACCAAAATAACTTCTAGAAACCATGAACCCTTCAAAAGTAAGGAAAGTCAGGTATTCCTTCCCCACCCCTATCCCATGAAGGAATGAACACACACACAATAATCACACAGAGTTGCTTCAGAGAAAGGCATCCAAGGATACAACCTGAGAAGCTGCTGGCCTGTTCCTAACCTTCCCTCCACACGTGCACTCTCACACACTCCGCTCACCTTCCCTGTCTATCTCCCTCTGCTAAGGAGCAGGGAAGTGGTCCCTGGTCTGTCTCCTCTCAGCCACGCCTGCCACACCCAAGCAGGGGACACCGGCAGAACTCCGCGTCTCCCTCTCTCCTGCCTAGTCCTCCCCTGCACGCCTCCCCTCAGGGTCCGCGTCTCTCTCTCTCCTGCCTAGTCCTCCCCTGCACGCC